GGGTGATATGTAAGCGAAAAGAATGCAAGACATACAAATGAATAAGAAAGTAGTTAACCTCAAAAAAAGACTAAACACAGCCAGAGATATTCCATGAGAGAATCCCACATCGCATGAAAACACAGTAATACATAATGTACATTAACCATTTGCACAACACACTACATACATGTTGAAACACACATTCAATGCACACACCCATGTGCATGCACACCTGTTCTCTTTAGGGGCCCAGTGTGCTGTGCTGCATGATCGCATTCCAACATCTTGCAGCTGAGGCCGATCAATGCCTTTTAATTACCAAGGGCCCAAAGCGTTGGTCGATACAGCTGACGAGAAGCAGAGAGTAGGGGGAGAGAAGGAGAGAAAGAGAGAGAGAGAGAGAGAGATGCTCCAGAGGGTGATTGATGCTCACTCCTCCCAGCCAGCCTACCTACAGATGTGTCGTTAGGCTTGATTAATCCTGCCAAGCCACATTCAGTCACTTTACAGACCGCTGTTTAACCAGCACGGGCCGCCGCAGTCGCAAGGTTAAGTGGACACGAGGTGTCCGCCCTGAGCAACAAAGGCTTCTTAACCAATAAGTCAAGGGTGCCTGGTTGCTCTCTACAATACTGGCTATTAGACTGTTACACTCTGATGCTAAGCTGACTGAGTTCTGATTTCTTACTTGACTGGTAAACCTTATATAGACCTATAAGCAAAAGTGGCAAAAGTGTAAATTGTAATTCTAAGTTACAAATTTTCCAACCTGAGGGAATCACTGAAGGTTGGTCAGTTGTATTGTGAATAATGAACATCTGTTCAGATGGGGGGAAGTAGCAGAAAACAATATAAATAGAAATAAAAGAACAATCAAAGTTAAAACAGCAGAGGCTGAGATACCCTTACTTTTACTCTCTAGTATGCCAATCAAAAACATTTTCCACAGGACAGGAACAGGAGGGTTTTTTAGTAGACCCACTCTTCTTTTGAAATGCTTCACCTCAAATTTGTAAAGCATGCTTTCTCTTAAAAATGTTGTTGTTTCCAAGTCCAAGCTGAGACATCAGCACAGTTATTTCTACAGACTTGGGAAAACTCCCTCCAGAGCCACAGAACACATTAAACAACTGTTTTCACAGGCTGAGCAGAATTCCCCGCGGCGAGTAAACTAACCTTCATGTGTACAATTGTTGGGCTGCCCCTTTAAACAGTCCTAATTCCACTGGTAGAATGAATGAGAACAGTTATTTATGCTCATGTGATGAAACAGACTTGGAATCATTATGAAGCCTTTTGCAGACACTTATTATTTTAGACACCTGTTATATCTCTCACCAGTATAGAACTACAGTAAATTATACCAAAAACCTGTAAGAAAAGAAAAGAAGAAACTGCAGAAATGTTTTTTTGTGCTGATGCTACTTTTAAACTAATAATACATATACAATTTAAATCTCAAGACACACAACTGCAGTTTTTGAGACATATTTATACACGTCTGTTGCCCATCACCGGAGAATGTTGCAATTCAGTGCAACTCCAATGGTTTTACTAAAACGAGGACAAACAAACAGGGATACCAGGATTTCTATGCATGAAGGGTGCTAGGAGTCCTGATTTGAAACAGTTATGCATTTTAATTATACATTACATAATTGTACTTTTTTTTTTGTTATATAATGTTATTTGATATTCCAGATCCATCCTTCTATTCTCAGAACCAGACACCAAAAAGCAATTTGCTTGGCACAGGAGATAAACACACAAGAAAAGACAAAAAATAAATCCAACAGCTGCTTCTGGGTAAAACTGAGATTGGCGTGTTGGAGAGACTCCCACACTATTTTCACTGGTGCCTCAACACAAGTAGACATTAAGCGGACTTAACACATTTTCCCTCAGGTGTGACCACTGGGTAAGCAGCCACTCTGTGGGTCTGAGGACATTATTCCAACCAGACAGTTAAAATCGGCCAACTGTTTAGAAGAAGTGTTTTATTATGTGACAAGAGGGTTCACATTCCTCCTCCTCCCCACTGCAAGTGAAAATATTCAACCTGTGGCTGTTGATCCATCGAAGGTCTTAATTCTCTGGTCACACTTTATTTAGACTGTTCACAGTGAATTACTTACTACACTACAAACTGTTTATAAAGTTATGCCAGTAAGGATTGATTTTGAGATTAACAGGTCAAAAGACGTCTAAACATTATATTGAAAAAAATATAATTTAAATGGATAAATTCCAATGTCAAGCAAGCCCTAATAACACGTTAAAGATTCTCTTGAAACAATGTATCATCTATCATATTTTAACATCTTGCATTCAGAATCCCCCTTAAGTAAAAGTACAAATGTACTATTAGCACTTATTATTAGTATCAAAAGTAAAAATACTTATTATGCAGTTATATCAACATGTATTAGAATAGTAGATAATTAGCATTGGTGCATTGTACCCATCATTTTAATGTTGTAGCTGGGAGTGGGAGTGGCGGGGGCGGAAGGGTAATTTAAATAATGTAGAGCTACGTGGTATATTCTTTAAAAAAGCTTGATCATAATTAACAACATAATGAACCTTTTTATAGATTGTGTGTATATTATTAATCTGGAAAGTGCAATATTCCCTGTGAAGTTGTGTGGCACTATAAAGTAGCAGCATAATGTAGAAAAACTAGTATATAGCACAAGTACTTCTAACTTGTACTCAAATACAGCACTTCAGGAAATGTAGCCTACTTAAGGACTGTCCTACACCAACAATGAGCACTGATTTGCTGATCAAAAGACATTTAGATGTCTAGCCAGGTAAAATTTGGACAAACATTTTTGTCAGCATTTTAATTACTATATTTCAATGTGTCGTCAGTGTTAATGACAAACTTACTGAAGTGCAATGCTGTTTAAGCAGTAGTTCCATGTAACCTCTTCATCTAAAAGCTCTCACTTTTCATCCAAGTTAGGCCCAGTTTGAACGTTGATGTCTGGACATATTACCTGCAAATCACCAAATCAGTGCTTACTGGAGTCTTCTCTTAATATAAGTTGAGTGTTACAGTTCAGACAGTGCTAATTCTCGGGGTTAGAGGTAGCATTGCTATGGTTATTATGGTTGCTAAATAACAGCACAGATGGACAGCAAAGTTTATACAGTCTTATTAAGGATTAATAATAAGTCAACAATCACACCTGATAGATGATGAGTAGGGAGTTTAAATTCTACCCTCTCTCAGTGACATGAGAAAAATAGCAAGTGAGGGCAGGTGGTGAAGTCAGGGTGGCAGCCTGCAGTCAGCATATAGAGCCCACATGAGACAGCTCTAATGAGATGAGGATTTTCACCTCAGCAGTGCCAATGCTAACAACATTTTATGGGCTTGGTTCCACGGTGTGCATTAAAGAGCCCTGTATTTTTGGTTTGAATAATACCTCACCTCAGCTTCCCACTACCTTCTCACGGCGTGCAATGGCTCCTGTTGAGCACAGTGAAGAACAAAGATCTGTGCAGCACGTGACCGTCAAAATGTCACTGTGCCCGTTGCTCTGTAAGAATAATGTGCCTGTGGACCTTTTTATTAGGGGCCGTGTTCCCTGACATGGGACCTATTATGTACTGTACAGCACTTCTCCCTTTCCTGCAGACCTGGGGCTGTTTTCAAGCAGGAAATGTGCATTTTTAAGAGTGGACAGTAAACTATGACAACTGAAGCAAAGCACGCCTGTTCATATTTAAGATATCTACTGATCAAGCACAGTCTTTCTTTGATCTTTTTGGTAATTTGTTTGGCTCCAAAAAAGTGGTGTATTGTGCTTTTCTATTCATCTTAAACCTCTTTAGGCTACTGACATAAGGAAATGGGATATGCTACTGAAATGTTCCCTGCCAACAAACTGTCACATCTGTTCCTTCTCACGATCAGCCCACCTCACGTCTCTTCCGGCGGGCTGTACACTGCAGTTACAAGTCTGGAGAAAAACAAAAATTGCTGTCAAATCAGCTTCAGCCCCTTAACTCAGTCATCCTGTTCCAAAGAATGTTGCTCTGAACTTAACATTCACCACCAGTGATTCAATTTGAACCATATTTACATATATGCTCCGCACACATGCACATTTACAGGCCAAATTACTTCAAACGTGAGGCGGTTTAACTGAGCCTCGAGACTGAATGAAGGGCATGAATGAAACTCTGCCATCACTGTGCTTGGCAGCTCCCAAAAGAAACACCCATTAAAAGCAATTTATTCAGCATGGCTGTAACATTTTGACCAATTCAAATCTAAAGACATTAAAAGCGTATTAGGTGAGCTGGTCTTTTTGCTTCTGGAGGTGAATTGGTCCCAGATGAGCATTGCTGTTGCTTTATCTTCTTGTCTTTATAGGAGACCGCTTGACATCGGCCAAGTCCCACTGGAAAGGAAGAATCCATACATTGATAAACACAAACCGAGTGCTTTATCATTTAACAGCTGGTAAAAAAGCCCCCTGGTTAGTTAATACAAATTACTGCCAACATAAAGAAAATGAGTCCATGCTTCATTTCATATCCCAGAGAGAGTAAATAAATGCAGACTGAACAGATTTTTTCCCCCAATATATAACTTTATTTAAAATATTGTTATTACTCTACACAACATTTTCAAATCTTTTTTCTGTTTTCTTAAATTGGTTAGTAAACCTTCGTGTGTGTGTTTTTTTTTAAAGATATAAAACTCTCCATTTTGTAGCCTAGTTCTGCATCAGGTGTTAACAGATGTCATTAGGCACTGCCTCTCTTTTTGACAGCTTGTTTCATTGTGTAGTTTGCTAATCCTCCGTACAGCCGTCGCCCGCGCACAAAATGAATCATCAACGGTGGCTCTATCACTGTACACTATCATTTCTCCAATATTTATAATTTCTGTTTAAATAAATAAAAGTTTTGAGTTGGAGAAACAACAGTGCATTTTGTCCAAGGGATATTCTTTTTCTTTTTAAAACAGCTATTTACAAGTTATGCTGACGACAGACAAACAAGGCTTAGGTTTTTAATTAATGTCACAGCTTACTTTCCATGGAAAAGCCCCGGATTTCAAAGCAAAACATAAATGAATTACACAAAGGCTAACACTTTTTAAAACAGCATGTCCTCCCTTCATGTTAGTCATAGGTATAGGACACATCAGCTGAACCCAGAAAGCCAGCAGCTAATGCCCTCCGAGCCGGACTCATGTTCCAGAGGTCGACATACATCAAGTCTACACAAAAGCGCTGATGATGAGACAAACGTGGCGACTGACTGAACCAACAGTGTCAAAGCAAAGAGACTGACTTAATAAATGCCACTTTGAACACTGGAGTATGAAATGCTGTAGAATTTGAACGGAAAAGATCTTATACAATGTCTGCCACTGAAAACTGATGTATTACTATAGCACCAGTAACATTTAGATTAGCATCTCAGTGGTGGTTGTGATGAACACAAACTTACCTCACGCTCATTTATTTTTTATTCTACTGCCACTATATGTTTGCTCTAACATCCAACATTCTTTTTATCCATTACATCCTGTGTGAAATCCAATACTCGTTTTTGAAAATAATCATTCACTTAACAAGCCAAAGCTGCCCAGCATCTCAAACGCAAACGCAGGTGGCCCCACAGCACAGCGTACTGACAAACAAACACGAGCCAACCGTACAAAGACGTGCTTCTTAACATTGCTGTCATCTCTCTGCGTTCACCTAAAAACTGTTACTATCACAATTATTTCACCGACGGCCGAAATGGACACCGACTGACATTATGCACACCTGCCTGTGACTGAGTGATGGCACCTGGCGCAGACAGGATAAACCAAAACACAAAAATATATTTAAAAAATAACAAAAAAACACAGCAGCTTTCTAAAAGCCTATTCACAGAAGCATGAGCCACAGGGACAGAGAACAAACATCAAACAGTAAAAAACACTGCTTCGAATACATTACTGGGAAGAGTGAGTCAGTTGGCTGACAGGAATAAAAGGAACAGAGGCTGCACTGAGCGTGTTGAGCCAACGTGATGCTGCCACAGCAACCACATACCCCTGTGATGATGGAAGAGACCAACCTAGAGAGAGTAAGAACAGGGGACAGAAAAGCACACGCACGCATGCACGCACGCACACACGCACACACGCACACACGGTTGAACAGCTCCAATTCTTATGTCATCCATCTCTAAATTGGCTATTACTTTGCCTGTCAAAATGACCATCTCGCAGTCGGCACTTTCTTTCTCAATCCAGCTACCTGTGGGATGTGTGTGTGTGTGTGTGTGTGTGTGTGTGTAAAAGACACAACATGCTACTACAGTATAATATGTATTGCTATAGGCTGTTGTGTAACTGAGGCCTGTCCTCAGAGGCAACAACTGGACGTCAAATAAAATATCTTGCACTTTACAATTTTGTCAAAGCATAAACACCCGAGTAGCAGGTATGTGTGCGTGTGTTATGCTGAAAAAGAATTTGAGCGGCTGTAAATGTTTGCTAGACAATAGGAGACGCCTCCCATTTGTCTCCATCTGTCTGGCGTCTCTGCTGTCATACAGAAACAAAACCCCATCTTCATTTGCTGGCTCTCACACAGACAGCTCATCAGATACATCCAATCAGAGCCTAAAAGCTTATCAGCAATGTCAATGTTAAACATAGGACATGCACACACGAAAACTGCACGTACACACACATAAGCATGCTCCAAGGTAACTGACTGAAAGCAAATTATGACTCAACCTAGGCATGAATTAAACATTTTATTGAACTAAAAGCTAAGCTCCACTGTAAAAAAACAAAAAGTGAAATTTTAACTTGTGCTCTAAAAGTCAGTTTGAATAAAAAATAAACCAACATCACTCTCAGTTTCAGATTGGTCGCTGCCAGAATGCGAGTGAAGCACAAGATTGAGTCAGTAATGAGTCGGCCGAGGTTAAACTACTAGACCTTAGTGGGAAAAAAAACCCAAACTCTATTGCATTCAGGTATAATCACTACATTTAAGCACACTTTCTCCATTCAAAAGCATTTTTTTGTCAGCATGTTAACCTGCTTTCTACACACTTAAAATGAGACAAAAATGTTTTAAACGCCTACAGAGGAAAAAAAACACAATCTGTGTACATTGTAAAACTGTGATATAATCATATGTCATGTGCAAACGCACACAACTAATACTGTACTCATTTAGGTGCAGTAAGAGGCAGACATTGCTGCCTGCATTGCTATACTGATGGTTGTGGTTGCAGTCACTCAACTTTACGCACCATCTATTCTTTCTACAACGCACGCACATACACGCACACCCACCATCTGTCCTCCTGACGTGGGTAATGGGCAAACTGCAGAGGAGTGATACTTTTGGGTGAGTTACAGAGCCCGAGGGATCACTCTTTAAGCTCTCAGAAGATTTCTATTTCTGCTTAAAAACCTACAACTAAACCTGTCTTTACACTTTGCTGCTCTCTGGTGCCTGTTCACAAAACTGCAACTCAACAGACAGGAAAACTTCCTGCCCTTGTGTTCACAATCTGTCAGACAGATTCCCCATATAGCGCAAAAAGATCAACGCTTTGGCCCATCAACCTTTTGTTCAAGAGTATTGTCCCTGCACACAGCTGATAATCAGAAAGCCCCTTCCTCTAAACTTCCAAGCTCTGGAAAATTACCACAATAAAACACTTGCGAGAGGGGGGGATGAATACACATACTGACATTAATGGCAGAAATACACATACTGACATTAATGGCAGAAATACACATACTGACATTAATGGCAGACTGCCAACAGACCAGAAGACAAGGTGAAAAATGGAGATTTGTTAAAGCAGCTTATACGCAATTCAGTTGTTTCATTGTGTTAGATCAAGAAACCAATTATTTTAGCACTTATATTAATCTATATTTTATCAATAACAATGAAACAATCGACAATTGTTAAACATCAGACAATTGTTAAACATAATTATGAGCACATCCTGTCACATCTGTTTTCAGTTAGTTATATTTGTGTCGCCTATGTTTTCTAAAAAGACAGAAGACTTCTGACCTTACAGGCAGAAAACATAATTTTTGTGTTAACGTCCTTCATCAGTGTAAAGCATGATCTTGCTTCTCGCTTTATCACCAACTGTTAAAGAAATCCCCCCTTTTTTTCTGTATCCCTCCCTTCTAATTTTCATCTCCATCCTCTCAGCTCAGTTCAGCAGACAAGGGCCACGCTGAAGGCTCCTGGGCAGAGCAGACTGTGTTTGGGGAACCAACCGTCACAATCCTATTTCACACGTAAGCTCCCCCGTCAAGTAGCGAATCATCGAGGTGCGCAAGTGGTGTCGCAGCGCTGTGGTGACCCTGACCAGTCACGTACTGTGTGGGGGGGCAAGAATTTGCTCATGTCCTGCCCCACGTCACAGGGCGGATGCATGGAGGAAAACAACAGGCACGCTATGGAGATCTAGTAAATGACATGAAAGTTGACTTTTGTTTATTCTCCTTCGTTGCTCTTCTTGCTGTGTGTATCCCTGGGGTCGGTTAAGTGTGACCATTCCAATTTCGCAAATTGGTCACTTCCAGTTTGTTTATCGGGGCATGGATTGCCTCAGTCTGTCACTCTGTTCCGTGTCTGTCGATGGGCGCTCTCTGGGGTGGTTGTGATGATGCAAGTGGACCAGTTCTAGTTTGAGTGAAGACAAATCCTTTTAGGAAGTTGCAATCTCACCCCCAAGGTGGCGCCATCCCTTCTGCTGTGTTTCCAGAGGAGGCAAATACTCTGTAACACAGAGAGACAGTTCAGGGAACAAGTCTGAATGACGGGCTTCTTTTTCTGTGCATGTCATGTGACTTACGAAAATGCTGCCACAATACAACACAGATCAGTCAGCGTCTCAACAATAGTGCCAGTAAGAAACTACCATGAATTTATCTGTCATTCAAGTAGTGATTGTGATTCTACAAGTGCTTGCTGAAGCCCTTGCCTTATATCCGGGATGTCCTCTCAGTCCTCAGCTGCTCTTTATGTGTCTTTGTTCCTGTAACTCTGAGGGTTTCAAACTTATCCTCATGCCTTGCAGGTGCTCATCCGCATACTTGTATTCTTGGCCTTGCGCTGTCTCATGCGGCAAATAGTTCTCTCTAATGTGTGGTTCCTGCTCTGATAGTGAGTAACATTTCTATACTGAATACTTCTCTGTATACACAAATGCATCAGTACATGTCTTTTCACAGTAACCCGTTTTTTTCTGGCGCTGCACAAGAGATAATAAACAATATCGTATCTGAGAGCACATTTTTTAAGGCCATGTAAAACGTTCACATATATATTTGCCTTCCACAGAAATACAAGAAGCACAATTCTTTTGTTTAGGTACATGTTTTTAATGTAAAGGTCTGTTTCCCATGCCAGTAAAGCCCCACTGAATTGAGGTAGCATACTTGAAATTCTCTCCCTGCCCTTGCCCTTTCAGATTTTGTCAGATAGGGCATAATTTCATGGTGCTTGCTGTCATTCAAAGCACCAAACAGCTATGTATCTGAATACATATTTCTTTATGATTTGCCCTAGATAAAATTTAGCCTTTTACCCTTCAGTGCTGGTGCTTTGTTTTATCAACTGTGTTAACAATAAGAATATAACCAACGCTAAAAACAAAATGCAAAAAGAAAGAAAAAAAAGCTGCTTACCGTTGTTGCTGCAGTTTTTGTTGTCTTTGTCAGATGCCTCTTCCTCAACCTAATGACAAAGAAATCAATACCCAGCAAATACAAAATTGACTTTATACAAAAGCCTGAAGAAAACATCTTAGTAGCTTATTGTATTTGTAAAGAAAAATGTAATAATGAATGTAGCAATAAGCCAAATTTAGTTTTTCAAACTTGGCATGGAGTCATGTGCTTCCCAGAATGAAAGAGGAAAGGAGTGGTCCTTACCTGTTTCCTCCACTTCAGCTCACAAAAGACCCGTTCAAAGCACTCGTGCATGTAGTTAAACTGCGAGGGAAAAAAAAGCAGAGAGAAAAGTTATTCAGCTTTTCAGTGCAGCACAATCAGCCTGCAAAGTGACAAGTTACATTTTTAATCAGTTGTCTTTGCTTCTTCTTCTTACGGCTTTGTTTACATGTCAAGTAAAATGTGTTGTAATGTATGTATTATGAAGGTGTTAGTGGAGTTTTGCAACCATGTGTTTAAAAAAAAAAAAATCACAACATCTGTCATTTTTAAACCGCAAATTGTAACCATGTAAATAAATAAATACATATACACAGTAAAAAAAAAAAAAAAAAAGAAACTTTAAAACAACAGTGCAGGTGTGTGCACACTTACGTATGGTGTGAAGATCTTTACCCAGCGAGGTTTCTTCTCTCCTCTGGTGTATTCAAAGCAGAAAGCCATCCCCTCCTCATCGGTGTCCCAGCGCTGCATCTCCGCCCACTCAAAAGCTATCACCTGGTTCTGAGGGAGAGCGTTTACAGTAGGCTAGCCTTGTGAATAAGTCACATAAATCTTTATCTTACCATTGGTTTGATTCACAAATCAGTATCTGGTATTTATGAAAATGTATACATTGCATACACACACACACACACACACACACACACAATATATATATATTCAAAAATGTAAGACTATAATATAGTCTTACATTTTATATGGTAAACAAAAAAAAGTTGCTTAAAGAGGGATAAGTTGGCTCCTCTGCTTGTACTGGATTTGATACTTTTTAATCAAACCAGCTCAGACAAACACTCACCTCCAGCGTGCCGTCCTCAGTACAAGCGTGCAGCTTGAAGTGATGGATGCTGATAGCTGTGATGACATGTCCCTTCCTCCTGGAGTCACAGGAGCAGTGGGGGAACGACACCTCATTGTAGCCCTCACATGTCCGCAGTAGACTCAGGTACTAATACACAAGTATTATACAGCACACATCAGTCACTAATACTGTAAGTAACCAGGTTTTGGAAATCTAAATACAATTATTGACATCTCTTTCCTTAGTTCAGTTACTCTAAAATCCCAGTTAGCAAGCAGTTTGGGCTGTGTTCGGACCAAATGAAATGACTGGCCGTGCAGATTAGTCCTGCGACAGCCACAGATCCAATTTTTTGTCTTCATTTTTGTGTCAGAGCATTTGATTCATTGCAGTAATGTTATGATACAAGCTTCAGCTATGAGTTATAATTTCTCGTTCTTTTCCACGACATTGTGAAATCTCTTTCACAGTCATGTCTTTAGCAGGCAAATGTGGACTAGGAGTAAGGGTGTATGGTAACCAAATATTTTGGTTTCTCCATCTGGTTCTTTTCAGTGCCTGATACTGATGATGCAAACCAGGTGTCCTGTTTGCATGCATTCCACTTTCAGTTATTATTCTACAGACATGAATATAAAAGAATGGCTTTATTGGTTTGCACCATAGAGGGATGTATTCTGAAGTGTGAAAGGGTCTCTGACTTTTCTGTCTATTTTTATTTGGTAACATTTTGGTGATGGCTCTGGTCAGCAGGCAAAAAGTGTAGCCATCCCAATCCCCTCCCCAAACAAAGAGTGTTCTGTGGGACTGACCGTGGCCATCTTGCGCTGCTCTGCCAGCTTCTGCAGCTGGTAGGATTTGTCCTCTGTTTTTATGAATCCCTTCTTCACATCTTCCAATGCCTGGGCAGACAGGGGGTGAGGTGGACGGGGGGTTGTGGTGGCATGAAGAGAAACAACACTATTTAACATTTGAGGTCACAGCACAAAAAAGATAATCCATTAGAAACAGATAACAAGAAGATATTCTGCTTCAAGCAAACAAGTTCAACTGTAGCAATAACCTTGTGTACATTTTAAAGTGGCTATAACAATTTATCAAACTACATTGTGCAAGGGGTCACCTAAAGAGAAGTATCATCCGAATATGCAGCTCCCCTTGGCTTTACGGAGCTTTATAGCAAGTTTCAGCTCTTTGTTTATCCATCCACCTTGCAACTTTACTGTTTTGATTCATTCTCACTACTCTCACAGCGTCGTTTTTGGCCACAGCAGGTTGCTGTTTTCAGTGAAAAAACTTCTAAAAACCCACTGTTCCCTACCTGCTCAGCACCAAACAGGAGATACACAGTTAGAGACTAGCTGGAGAAAATGCTAGAGAATTTGTCAGTTTAAGAGCCAGATGTTTTCCTCAGGAGTTGGTAGAGG